CTCTCTCTCTCTCTCTCTCTCTCTCTCTCTCTCTCTCTCTCTCTCTCTCTCTCTCTCTCTCTCTCTCGCGCGCGCGCGCGCGCGCGCGTGCACACGATATGGATGCTGAGTGGAGCAGCACTGGGGCTGCTTGGATGGAGCATTATAGCAACAGGCTGTGCTCAATGGGGTGGGTGTATTATTATCTAAACTGGGTGTGCTGCTCTGCAGGTTGCATGGGTGTGCCGTGTGACATATAACGTAGTTCATCCGTATGTATGGTATTAAGTCGCAATATGCAGTACTACATAGTATTGTCAGGTACCATGCAGGTTGGGTGTCTGTGGCTATATTGCATCCGGACCCCTTTATATCCAGTCGCAGCGCCCAACTTGCATTATCCTCGTGCCCAGAAACCAGGCAGGCAAAATTGCATATGCACATAATTTGTCGGGGTATGTCCACAATTTAAGCGTTCCAGTAGGTGGGTATAACCGCACTTTGGACTTCAGGGTGGGAGGGTGGGTGTGATCATATTTGGGCATGAAAACTATGTGGAATTATGTGGTACTACGTGGTCCTATGTGCTACTACGCAGCACTAGGGGATACTATGTGGACCTAGTGTGGTGCTATGTGGCCTGAGTGTGCTGTTTTGTGGGCAGGAAGTCGTACCATGCCGTCACCTGGGGTATTCATTTTCTTTCTTTTCTTTTCTTTTTTTGTTTTTTGCGCAGTGCGATATGGTATTGTCAGGTACTATGCAGGTCCATATGGATTCAAGTTCATAGGCTGTTTACTAACAGTTGCATGAATGTTCTTCAGCCACACGCCCAGGTGCATACCCGTATTCCAACATCCCTCATCCTTCCATTTGCGTGCACCCAATGGTACGACGTGACCAACAGAGAACGCCACAAGCAAAGCGCAAAATGACCCAAAAAAAAAAAAAGATCGGCCCCTGGCTTTGTTATTGATGTGCTCCTGTTCCATCAACAAAAACACAAAAGGTCAGTCCACGTCGTTATTCAACCATGATCACAGTCTGAGCTTTGTGAGCTATTGCAAAAGACAAGACTCTGGAGAAACAACCGAAAACGACAAAAACAAAATCAAAGAGACAAACCAAAAACAACAGCAAAAGAAAAAAGGAAGATGCAGAATGACACAAAACAACAAGATCAAAGGCCATGGGTCTTTTGCTCTAATCTCAAAAATTTTCAAGAGGAGTTGGACAGCTGTCGGACTCTCGAAAAAGGCGGAAAACGGGTCATGGCTCCACTTACTCTCCAAAGCCGGACTCTCAATTCCTCGGAGAGCAGATGATGACAAAGAAAAGGGTAACGATCTAGTCCCAACTCACAGTCTACTCTCCAAAACTCTCAACTAATCTGGGTAATGGCCCCAGGATTTCCGGGTCGAATTGTGAGGTCCCCGACCTCTTTCCTATGATTTTAATACAAATTGCTATGCTTTCCAAAAAAGAAAAAAAAGAAAAATATATATATATTATATATATCGTCACAAACATAACTGCCCGGTAAACCGTAGGCACGGAGAGAGAAGAGGACAACAAACGAGGGACTGTGACAAACTGTTTCGTCGGAGTTTCACCGACTCATCAGGAGGCTGAACCCTCAACAGTCTGCAGAATCCCCTCACTGATTACACTGTAAATGATAATCTACCTTAACCAAAATCAAAATAGTAGACTATCACTCACCCACACCAGATGGAATATAGTCAAAGCTGTCAAACAGAGCTGCCCGTTAAATTGTAGGCAGAGAGGGAGAAAAGGACAGCAAACGAGGGGCTGTGACAAACTGTTTCGTCAGAGTTTCACCGACTCATCAGGAGGCTGAACCCTCAACAGTCTGCAGTTCTTCCGAACAATGCTGGTCATCCATTTGCAGATCCGCCATGTGGTCTATGCCTTGTGGGCTCAACTGCAATCCAGGCAGATCATGTTCCAATCCATCAGCGTTCGGGCTCCCATCCTGAGTAGCGACTATCCCTGGAGTTGGGAGTATACTCTGGGCAGCCGGACTGTATGCAGGGGGCATAGGAGCGGATGTAGCCGCGTTTGGAACAAAGGAACCGCAACAACCCATGGAGCAGGCACAGAGGGAATTGGGGTAGACAAAGAAACAGGCTGCGGATCCGTGGACAAGTGACGATGTCGTGCATCTCGTCGACGATACACAATAAGAGGAGGGGTGGTGTTGCAAACAGAAGATGAGGATGTCCCTGGCAATGAAGGCGGAACTGCAATCAGTCACAGTAACCCAGTGGGACTGCACACTAACTGTGTTTGCTGTTTCCTTAGTTTGGCCCTTGCGGGACTCGATCCCGTGACCTATAATTTGTAGGTTTGGTTTGTTAGCTTCGAGCCCTACTGGGCTTGACCCTTAGACCTGTAGCTATTAGTCTCTATTTGGCAGTCTTAGACCCTTAGGCTTTGCTGTTTTGTCGTTTTCTGCAGTCAACCGGGACTTGATCCCATGACCTGTAGTGAGTTTGTGGTGATTGACTGTTTTTTAGCCTTATTGGGCTTGAACCTTGAACCTGTCGCTAGTAGTCTCTACTTCGTAGTCTTCGGCCTTTCAGCGTTGTTGTTTTGTCCTTTTCTGCCCGTCTGGATACTGGTAGGCCCTTAGGTCTTTCTTTTATGTGTCCTAGCCTTGGGTCCCCTTAGTCTAGGTTTCCATCTAGATGCATGTAGGGAGATCTTGACTGTTTGGCCCTAGACATTTGCTGTTTGGACCGTCAGATAGGTCTGTAGGTAGCCGCTGTGTAGTAGGTCTAGGGAAGTCGGGTAGAAGTAGACAGAGGCCAACGAGTTTGGGGCTCTTTTGGTTCTTTTCGTTTGCTTTTGTTTTCACGGTCTTGGTGGAGGTCGCATTGCTTCCCTCCTGCGCTATTGTGGGCATGTATGCAGCGCATCTTCTCCACATGCCGCTGGCGGCCACAGTTGGGGCCGGCCAGCTCCATTGGTGACAGCGCTGGGCTCGGCACCCAAGTGCTGATGAGCGCTTCCTCATATTTGTGTGCTTGTAGGGGTTTGGTCAGCTGCCACCGAAACTGCACTTTCAGCGG